GGCAAAAGAAGGAAACCCTCAGATCAAAGTAGACCAGATTCCTTACTAGTACTCTTCCTAGGATGTTTTTCCTGCCACATGAAAGAGAGCCCAGTTAGTACTCATTAAAAAATGTGACAAGCCGCCGATTTYGGCCATTATGCCTGCTTGACTGCACTGGGAAATTATTTGAAAAAATAATCGATAATAGGCTACAAGATATCGTTGAGGACAACGACGAAGATGGATTGATGGACAACCAGTTCGGCTTTCGCAGGGGATGAMGTACAATAGACGCGATAAAGCAGATAATACAGTTTTTAGAGGAATCAAGAGGAACATCCCGTAACATTGAATATAAAGAATACATTTAACACGGCTTCATGGGAGAGGATCCTAGAAGCAATGATGAGCAAAAACCTCCCGTGGTACATTCGTCGACTCGTAGTTACCTGTCGGACAGGACCCTCTACTATTAACAAACAATTATAGAAATTGATACAATGCAAGTGCCGTTTGGAGTACCTCAAGGGTCAGTATTAGGGCCCACTTTGTGAAACATATTATAATGATACATAATGATCTACTCAGAGTGAAACTTCCAGTGGGAGCAAGATACCCGGCGTTTGCGGATGACTTGGCTATAATTGCACGTGAGACAGACACAATGCAATTGGAAGATTACTGACACCATCGATAGAACGAACAGCGTCCTGGATGCATGAAACAGGKTTTCAGATAGCAGTACATAAAACCGAAGCTATCGTCATCACTAATCCTCGACTCTACAACGACTAAACCTGCAAGTACAGGGCAACGACATCAGAGCGGTAGTGACTTGAAGTAGATAGAACGAGATATCACGCAATTGTGATATAAAATAAGTATTAACTATGAATACAACTAATAAGCCATTAATATCAAAAGCATGCGGGGTCAACAATAGGAAMGTGGTGAATAAGATATAAGATTGATTAAATTATAAAAGTGTTTTCACACGTCTCTTCTCAGAAATGACTGTAKACCCGTGTGAAAGGATACGAAACAGTCAGCATATTAAGTTGAATCACAAGACCGAATGTTGACATGTAACAGGAAAGACACCACCACTCCTAAGGACCAAATCATAAATAAGAGAGACGGGGACAAGAGCTCGTCAGATGGTTTTTTTAAATGTGAGCCAGACGGTTMTTAAATATGAGCTAGACGGTTAGGGATATTCAAGACGCTCAGAGGCAGGTCGTAACACCACTCATAGTCTTTTATAACATTATTTCAGATTCAGGTCGTAACACCACTTACCAACACCTTATAGCTTACTACATTGTAATTTTGTTTCAAGTTTAAACATAAAATACAGATTTTTACACTTATACATCAGTATTTTCATTTCTACGTTAATATATGAATCGAYGTTCAGTTGGGACATAACACTAGTGAGGGATCACGACTCAATAGATTTCTGGCTGACTCAAGCCCTTACGGGCCACGGGTGCTTTGCATGGTACCTGTTCAAATATAAAAAGTTACTGTCCCCAGAATGCTGGTTTTGTGGGCACGAGAAAGACAACGCAGAGCATACGTTATTTTGGTGCGACGCCTGTAAGGTAAGACGGCAGCGCGTTTCTACGATAGTTAGTATCAATCTGAGGACGGACAAAATGGTGTCACTAGTGCTCGAGTCCAATGAAAAATGGGCAGTGATCTTCTTACACGGTGCTATGAAACAGAAGGAAAACAATGAACGAAGGAGGCAAAGAATAAGAATAAGCAATTAATTGTTTATTATTATATTGTGCGCTGAAAGAAAAAATAGAGGGGATATAGACTCTCGGTGCTGTGTAGTTTTAAAATATCTGTGAGGCTGTAAGCTGGGGGGCTGTCCCTGCGCGTAGCCATTAAAAGTTGTATTTTTTCAATAACGATGGGGTTATCATAGGCGTGTCTACGGGGGAGGAAGAATGGGTACCGGCCTCCCCAAAGTGACTTTATTCTTGACCTCTTGGTGTATAATCTACCATGGATAAAACACGGATTTCTATATGGTTAGTAGTGCTATATAATTTCCATACAAAAATAAAAAGTCACAAATATAGATTATAAAACACAGATCATTGTAGTAGGTAAGTATAAAATTTAAATTTTATAAATGGGCTCCCCAGCCATGGAGGCCTGGACACGCCTATGGGGGTTATAGAGGTGAAATGACTGACCTACTGACCTACTCTCCAACCTCAATTCTAATGTAAAAAAAAAAGTTAGTTTAGGTTAGATTAGGACTACTGGGATACAGCGGGTCACAGCGTGACCAATCTGTGTCGCACGGTGCCCTAAGACCTTACAACATGACCACTATAATTATTAATATAAATAAAATAATAAATATTTAAATTATTKGCATTAACAAAGTTACCTATGCATATTTTATACAGTCGACTCTTGATAACTCAAACCTTCAATAATTCGAAACCTTTGGTAATTCGAAGTAAATTCGGACAAAAACAATGCATTTAAGTACACTCGGTAATTCGAAATTAAATTTTGGGAAAAAAGGCCTCTATACAATCGTGTAGATATGTAGCTTATTGTTTTCGATAACTAAGGAATAACTATAGATTCTTTAGAACCTATCATTTCTTAATCGTCTCTAATCGTAAGTTAACTCGTCAAGTCTTTTAATTTAGTTAAACAATTACAAACTACGAAACGTCAAACATACTCATACATTTAAAAAGTAAAAAATCATAAAAATAAAATGTTTGTTTATAGGTACAACTTTAATATCTGTTAGATACTCAATATTATTAAATTTTTTTTGTAAGTAATAACATATACAAAAAAAAAAAACAAAATATACAGAGTACATCCGTTTCAGAAAAAAAATACTTTGCTGCTAAACTAAAATTACACCAAAATAACAGATAAGAGTTAAATGAGGGTTCATAAGCTTATAAAGTTTACCCTGTGTAGTTCTTAAAAAAAGTTTTAAAATATATGGTAATTTATACTGTGAATAATAAATGTAATAATATGTTCAAGGAGAGGTACTTCGTCAAAAAAACAATATAATTCAAAACACTGAATAAATGAATAAATAATAAACAAGGTTAACGTGTAACATAAGCATTTTAAGCCTAAATTATTAACAATTAATACTCATGGGCGTCCCCAGGAGGGGGCAAGACGGGGAACTTTTTTCGTAAAATTACAATAGCTATAAATAAATCCAATCTGGAAATTATGATTAGGTATATCTACCTTCTATAGATACTTAAATATAAAAGGAGGTAATTAAAGCACTTATTTACTTAATTACTAATTTATCTATTAATTAGAATTAACTTACCTTTAAAATTACAATATTTTTTAAGAAAATCTGTAAGTAATATTTTAAAATAATGTATATAATGTTGTATAAAACTATGCTCGAGTAGAAAACAATTTATAAATTGAATGGTTCAATATTTAGTCAATCAATAATTTGCCTCTTACCATTATATTATAAAATATGAAGGGATTATTTATATTTAAACACAATCTGGCATTCGACAAAAACTTCGATATACTTATTTTGATTATTTATGTCGAATAAAAATAAATAAAAATTGTACTATATTTGTATACATTATGATTTTATACTATTTCTACATTCTACATTATTTAATTTGTCTAAAACTTCAAATTAATAAGAAGTAACTTATTAAATGTAAAAATTACATTMACACTTTTGAAGTTACTTTCCTAATAGTTACAATAATTTAAGAGTACGGTTAATTTGTTTTGAAATGGAAATCAACTTCAATCAAAATAGATTCAAAATGCATTCATTTCCTTAAAAACAGAACTGGGATAATGCCATAATAGTTGGGTAACTATAAAATTAAGAACACACCATCTAATATATCAAACATTATTTTTTTTTTAATTATGTGTAATATAATGAAGTTACTATATTATATTGATTATTAAATAAAAATATTACCTCTGCAGTAATCTAAAAATAAAAGTTAAAAGGATACATTTATTATTACATTTTTAATTGTATAGTCCATCATGTCCATAAATTAAGATATAATAATTTTCACATAATAATAGAATATAAAACAATGCAATCATCTGTTCAATCATATTGTACATGTTATTCAATTTTTAAGCTGGTAAAGAAATTATGATCTAATCGTAGGTAGAACAAAAATAATAAAGTTAGGTATTGTTTATATTATTAATATACATTGACTATTGTTGCATGACTAAAGCAAAATCAAATTACTGCGTTAGGTAAAATAAATTGCATRAKTTATAACTTATAACATCAGTAAAAACTTATTAAAATACATTTTAGCTGGGTATACTGGAATTAGTTCATGCAAATTTGATTTATAGCTTTGAATCGGTATTTCTTCTAAAATCAATTMAATATCAAATTTTTTGAACAACTTTTATCTGCTTTCTCATAATAATATATAAAATTTAAATTTAACAAATTGCAATAGCTTTGTTTTCTATGAATTTATATAATATCTTAGCTAAGCAATAATTAGTTTCAGCCTTCAAATCGATCTAGTACAATTTACAAACTCGCTGATAATAAAAATCACAAAATAAAAATATCCCATCCTTTCACAATCATTAATATATCAATCAATTAATATACATACCTCTCAAAAAGTCCTCATTTCTCGCGGCTTTAGTGGCTGGTATGGCCCACATCGCAATAACTAAAATTGAAACCGTTATTAAATTAACTTTAAAAAAAATCATTTTGATTTACTATGAGAAAACAATAAAAACAATGTGAACGTTGAACAATAATGAATAAACTAAAATAGCATTTATTGATGTTTTATATAAGTAATCTAGACCTATGCATACCCTCACCTCATCCCTCATTGAAAGTAAAGAATGTTCACAATAAGAATTTTATTTATGACACAAAAAAAACATTTTAATCTTTGTTTGTCTTTGAACACTATGTTCATTGTACTTTTAACACCTAAGTAAATAACATAAATTTAACATTTATAACAATACATGATAGGATACCTTGTGACGGTAATGAAAAATAATTGAAGCTTTCATAATATTAAAGAATACACGTCTCATGTATCGATGTACTTACATATTAATCTCACTAAGACAAGTAGCAGATATAGCACCTTAAGGACACACTCATTATGATTCATAAAGTTATCTAAAATATAATATCGTGTAAAATAAAAAGAATGATATCTAATCCTTTTAATAACATATAATTATGGATTAGGTATTAATTATTTTTATATAATTAATTGCATAATTTTTACTTTGCGAGTTAAAAATTGAAAATTGAATAAAGTTCTGCGTATAATTTTCATATTGTTATTATTCAAATATGTTAAATCTTGACTCAAATTAAATTAACTATAAACTGAGTATTAAAATTACTTTATCGAAAAGTAGGTTGCTACCGACTTGTACAATTGTCTTAAATATAATTTAATAGGCATATCCTTGATCCAATATGTAAGAAATTATAAGCTGTAATAAGTTTTTATTCGAAGATCAATAGCGTGTTTTTGCCACTGTCACYAYYWATAAATATACATTTCGTGAAACATTAATTGAAATCCAAACTATTTGAAAATTTACTGTTCGAAAAGTCTTTGTCAATTGATTTCGATGGC